CGTACCGTACAAACCGACCGATTAAATAATTTAGTTTGTTTATAATAAAGCCAAAGGCGCACCAACGATTTACGCCGTTTATTTTCCTTTCATTTATTTATTTGTTCACAATTAAAATTATACACATGTACCGTCGCAACATTAACTCGTCTAACCGATAAGGAATTATTTATTTATTTCGGATAGTTGTATCCGATTATACCGTTAAGATATTAGACCGTTCCAGAAATACACATGTACTCGTTGTTACTATTTTCTTTTATAATTATAATGCTCTATTGAATAAATAGTTATTTTTCTTTAAATTATTCTTGTTAATTTGGAGTCTCCCAATAAACCACACGAACGAACTCTGGCAGACCGACGAGTTAGACAGCGTTGTAAGAATCCGCTTCGCTAACTACGCACCGTCGTAATTCCGCATCGAAAAATCCGCATACCGTCGAAATTCCGCATCATTACGCACCGCCCACGAGGCGTAAAAACAAGCACCGTTACAAAATAAAAGTAAATTTCTCTAAATTTTCGACCGTCTATTAAAAAATTTTTTTTAGGTTTGAAGATTGTTATAGAGTATTATAAAGTACATATAGAGAAATAAAATATATAAAGAAATTATAATTTATGGTGGCCTGCAATAAAAAATAGGTTGGTGAAAGCCGAATGCAGCAGCACTTTGATTATGATTCACACCGTAACCCCATTTATGGGGCCGGGGGCCGGCGCTAATGTGTTGTTAGCGCGGGCCGCGAGGGTGGTAAAAACTCTATAAAAAGACCCGGGCAGACCGAGCTTGTAAGTCCTGGGTGGGCAGTCGGTCTAGTGGAAGGAAAACCACGATAAAAAATCCGGAGAAGAATACTCCGTAATAAATAACACGGGGCTACAGGGGGGGGGGCTAGGGATGTTCCCGGTCCTCCATCCCCCCTTTTTTCTTCAGAGAGGCTCCCTCCTCCGGGCGGCAGGTGAAGCGTTTTGCGGGAGGATGCGAGAGCCATTTTGGGGTTTTGGTCTCCCAGCCCGGCCCGATTAACGGGCATCGGACTTGGGTAAGACTCTCGGGTCAGTCCTAAACGACTGACCCGACTTTTGAGAGGCTCCAGGGAGCGTGGGGGAAAAGGATAATTCCCCCCCCCCTCCATGCAACCTCTGTGAGCCGACCCTCACAGCCCCCCCGAAAATTCCTGGGACGAATCGGGAACGGGGGGCAACAAGACAAAAGGGAGTTTTTGATCCTCTGCGGGCGGGATGTCAAGCGGCGCCCGCTCCCCCGCCTGTAGGCGGGATCGCCGGGCGCAAGCCCGGAGCTGAGTTGCGCTGAGGGTTGGAGGGGAACCTTTGTTCCCCCCACTATTAGACTTTCGCCGGAAAACCGGCCCGCCGGGGGAGATTGCTGGATTGGGAGTATGCCGATTGGCGATTCCCGGCATCCCCCCAATCCGGCCGCTGACGGCACAGCAACGGGGGTGGGGTTTAGTTGGTAGGCGTCTGGGGGAGCAGTGGTGTCGCAAACCACTCCCCCAGACGAATCCAACACTACCCTCTGGCAGTGGGTTTCCTGTTAGAAACTCACATTGCACGCCAGAGGGTGTCTTTTGGAAGATTCCCCACCCTCGGTGAGGAGCTCGCCCCTCCCGCAAAAAAAAAAAAAAGCACTTTAATTATCCGGGCAGGACGGGCTCGTTAGTTTTGGTCGACAACCGTCCTAGTGAAAAAAAACCACGATAAATACACCCGGAGAAAACAACTCCGTGAAAAAATAACAAGATGATTGAAGGGGGAGAGGTAGGGGCTTGTCCCTGCTCCCCCTTCACCGGTTTTTAAAAGAGGCTCCCCCTTCCGGCGCGGCGGGGCTTCTGCGCATTGTGCGAACCCTGCCGCTGATTCCGGGGGAAGAGAGCCACCAAATGGTTACGGGTCCCCCGAGCCCGGCCCGATCTGTACCGGGCAACAAACGGGCTTGGGGGGGACCCCCGGGTCAGCATGGGGCTCACCCGACGACCCCCTAGGTTTATGGGGATGATCCTTTGCGGGCGGTTATGGCACGACGAAGGGACGCGGGCCGCCCGCAGTAAGGATCGCCGGGCCGCCCGCAGTGAGGATCTCCGGGCCTCGGCCCGGAGCAGGAGAGCGACAGCGGGTGAGGGGAGAACACTTTGGTTCTCCCCACCTTTGAGATTAGCGCCGGGAAACCGGCATCCGGGGGAATGGCTGGATGTCATGCGATGCAGTTCCCAGCTATCCCCCACAAACGGCAGCTTATGGCCAAGCAACGGGGGTGGAGTTTAGTGGGTAGGCGTTTGGGGGTGTATATGGTGTCGCAAACCATACCCCCAGACAAATCCCACACTACCTTCTGGCAGTGGGTTTCTAGTTACGAACTCACATTGCACGCCAGAGGGTGCGTTTGAAAGATTCTCCACCCCCGGGGGGGGGGGGGCTATCGTCCCCCCACAAAAAAGCACTTTGATTAACCTCCTCGTTGTGCGCCACCTTGTTGTGGTGAGGAAGCTCACCGTGGGGTGGCCCGCTGGGGTCATTCTGCGGTGCTAAGAGCGCAGTTTTCTCTATGAGGGGAACGGGAGCCCGGCGACTCCCTTAGGGATTTGTCCCAATCGCCGGTAAGGGTTGGCGGCCCTGACTTCAATCGCCCGGGTGCCTAGACCCGTTAGGAGTGTTTTTCACTCTACCGGGATAGAGGAGTAAACCTCGATAAAAAAATCCGGGACCTAGCCAGTTTTATTAGCACGCCGGTGTTCCGGCATAACGACTGGCTTCCCATTGCACGTGGGGAGGCGGAGCGTCTCATACCGTAACCGCAGCTGTGAGGCCGGGGGCCGGTGCTTGCATTGAGCTTGCACGGGCCGCGAGGGTGGCAAAACCTCTATAAAAAGACCCGGGTTGGTCGGACTCGTTAGCCATGGTAGGCAACCGGCCTAGGAGAGGGAAACTCCGAGAACAAACCAGGATTAGGGAGGGGAGGGGAAGGTGCGCTGCTCTCCTCCCCCGTTGTACCCGGACTCTACGCATTCGGCCGGGGGTCGTCCTTCCCCCGGGCGAGCGCGATTTATCACACACACTCATACACACACACACACTCTTGGTCCCCGCACTTTCTGGGCGCCTTCGTTGCTGCAAAGCTGCTCGGAAGTCGGGGACCATGCATGCATTCGGCGGGGGGCCCCCGCGCATCGTTATGATGCGTGGGATGCCACTTCCCGCATGCATACACTCACACA